AGTGAACAGAAATGAACCCAGAAGAAATAGTCCTTAAACATACAATAAGAACCAGATTAATTGTAAATTAAATAAATTTAAAATGGTCAAAGCAGATGTTCTTTTTTGTTTAGAGACATCTTATTTCATCTCCAAATAGAGTTTGCTTTTAAGTAAAATAAGGAGTAGTTTCTGAAGTGTCTAACTCATGCAAGTACTCTTCAGGCCAAGATAAAATAGATAGGCATTTTTGCCACTTTCTTAACGCTGTTTGCTTTATATGGACATACACAACCTGCTCATAGTAAAATTTACAGTATTCAGTTCTTTTGACAGTTTTTCCTAAGTCAGCAATTAAAATTAAAAGAAAAAGATCACACATAGGCATTGGCATTCATGAGTCTAACTTACAGAAAAAACAAAATACCATTAAACATATGTGATAGACCCTATTTCATAAAAATCCGTGGGCACAGATTTAGCCTTGATGCTAATGATGACTCAGAAAAAAACTTAATATGTCTCTACATTTCATCTAAATGTGGAAGAAACAGTCTAGGAAATTAAGGGAGTATCTAAGGTTATTCACTTTTCTTGCTGTGACAGAGGCACTTAAATGTCTCATAGAAATCACCCTCCATACACATACGTATGTTAACAGTTGCCCATCCCAGTTCCCACATTTTACCTTCTTTCTATGCTTGCAAGGATACAGCTTACGCAGTCATATCTCTTAAATCTCTTTCTTTTGTAATTCTTACTTTTTGCTGCTTTCAGGAATAAGAAAGTAAGCAACTTTTTTGAGCAAAGATGACCTATTCAGGACTTAATATTGGGAAAGTGAGAGCAAGACTGCAAACAGCTAAAACTGGGAATTTCCAGTTTAATGGAAAATGCTGGTATTTTGATTATTTTGAATCAGGACACACTATTTCAAAATTTCCCACAAAGCAGAAATTAAAAAAAACCCCAAAAACTAAAAAAATGCTTTCAAAAATGTTGAAACACATTTTGTTTGAGCTTTTTAGTTCTATTTATTTAATAATAATTTTAATATTTTGTATTTTTGTTTTACAGTCATAGCTATAGCTCATCTCATGCCACTTAATTAATGTATAATTTCATAATATATTATAATTTTTAAAAATTTAATTGTTTAAATTGTGAACAATTATACCCAATAGTTGATGTATATTTCATTTGAGTAGGGAAATAAGATCAGTATTTGGCTTTGTATTCCTCTCAGCACATTTGTTTCAAAAACCAAGGAAAACCCCATGTTAATGTAAAGATATTCAAAACAGTAGCTACTGTAATTAGTGCTATACATTAAATATTTGAAGTAATTTTATCTTATTCATCAGAGTATTTTCACCATACACCATCACAGTTGTTACTACCATCAGTTTTTTCTACCACTGCTACCTATAAACTGTAATTCTGGACTTTCTAACCCATTAAACCTGCTCTTGAAACACTCATATTTTTCTTGATCAGCAAATACAAAGGATTTCAATTTCTGTGATTCTCTCTCAAACTTAAACATGAAGCTTGCACTCTCCCTGTTTTGCCCAAATGAGAAACTGTTTTCCATGGCACTGCCTTCTCCTTGGTGTCTCTTCAATACTGACAAAGTAAGGACAGCTCAGACTGCATGCCTTCATCCTTCCCATCAAATTTGTTATTTATGTATAAATAATCTATTTACTTGCATTTTATCTAGTGATGATGCTGCTTAGGTCACCATTACAGAAGGTGTTTGAGGCTTTTTATTAAAAAAAAGTTCTTTAGCTCAAATCAACTAGCAAAATGATTTTTTTTTCTTGACTTCCCAACTATTGATTTGATGAAAGGAATGTTCCACCTTATACTTGACTAATCTCTAACTTCTGAACACAGAATTCCATATTAATAAAATGCTCCCCCTCATCTCTTCCTCTAAAGAAAAACTTGTCTCTGCTATTTTATATAAATAAGAACAGCTTTTTGCCACGGTGTTTATTGCCCTCTTCCATCCTCTCCTAAACCATGCTCTCTGCCCCATCACCCTCTGAGTGATATCTGTTATAGTGGTGATATCTATTACAGTGCTTCTATCTACTTGAGTGGTTCTATCTTGGCTTTCTATTGGAAAACTTGTAATGGTGTAAAATAATAAAATAAAAAACAGTGTAAAAACCCAAACAACCGCTACAAATTGCTTTTTGTTTGAGTGAGCTAACAGAGAAGAATCCAAGAAAAAGGCCCACTGGTTCAGGTGTTTTCAGGCACTGTGGCAATGTTTCTACCTTTTAAGAAAGGATTTAAGTAGGGACAATATATAAATTAGGATAATTGCATATTTTTGTATTTGCTATCTTCTATAACACAGAGTTGTCCCTTGGAAAAGCTGACACACGAGTTCTATAGCATTAGAGCATGTTGGTGAAATCATTGGAGTAATAAAGTACAAAAGACGAGGATCAGGACACCTAAATTCCTAAATACCTGATTCCATCTCTCACACATTTCATATATCTTTGTGGCTACTATGAAGCCACAGGTTACACTTAAGAAGCCAAACAATGATGTATATGCTATTGCCTTCTAAAGTAGAACAGCTACACACATTCCAATTATTAAACTTTTCTGATCCGTACAACTTTTGTAAATACTTTGAAAACTCTCATAAACTCTGTAGTTTACAGGTGCATTTTATTTAAAGGAATGTATACAACTGTATAAGCCTGCAGTCATACAGTACTTTATTTTAAGTGGTTTTAAAAGTTATTATATTTAACAAGGGAGAAATGAACCAATTTCCAATAGTTAACTGACTGCTGTACTGACTAGAATATTATCACCTAAAGTCTAAAAATCCCTAATGGAAAACTTTCTTGAATCTCTTCTGTTTTCTTGCCTTTTCACAGTACTACTTTAAAACAAGAACCAAAATAAAGAAGTGCAGCAGAACCTTAGGCTGGTCAGGTGCGTTGAGGAAAGGCGTTGAGAATGGCTCTGTGGAAAGAACCAGAATTACCAGTTGTTTGGAGACACTGTGATTCTCTGATTACCCTGACAGCCCAAAACTGAATCTTCCACTGCATGCTGCTCTCATGACCAAGAGAGACTGGTGACACCAAGGAGAAAGCAAGCAGTGAGGAGTAAGAAGGGCGTTTGAAGCCCAGGCAGCAGGGAGGTTATGAAGGAGTGTATCCCTTCTCTTATTTAGAAATAAAAAGGCAGAAGTGTGTGCACCTATCTGTTTGCTGGAAAAGCAAAATATTATCAGAACTTTCTAATTTGTCTTCCCACATTCTTCTCTAAGGCTAGTGGAATAAGTGATACATGCCCTACGAGTTGCAGCAGGCTTCATCAAAGTATGTGCAGAATGGTGCCACCACTCAGTGACCTCTGAAATGCAGAGGGGAGAATAAAATAGACCAGAACATTAAAATACGGCACCTGTGATACAAATTTGTATCAGAATACTTGAAACACTAGTTTTATCTGAACTAAGCAAACTTACCTCAAAACCCTCTGTGCTTCTGCCATTATGGTACATTAGAAGAAATCCGTTCCAAAGATTAATCAGCTTAGCTAACCAAACACTGTTTAAAACAGTACAGAGCAAAGTATTAGCCATTCACAGAGGATACAAATAAGTAAATGTGTCCTTTCTGCCTGGCAAGCACCCTATAGTTCAAGGTGGATCTGAAAATTGAGAGCAGATCTGGGCCAACATGATCTCAATTGTTATTTTCAATAATAAAGTACAGCTAGCACCTCAGCATGCAACCCTCACTTAGTGGAATCGGACAGGGACAAAATGCAATGTTCTGAAACAGCTTTTATGGAAATCATGCACTCCTTGTGACATGTGTTTGGTCTCTGGAGCTGCAGCCTTGTTTAATCCTCTACTTTTAAATACCATCTTCCAAACCCAAAGGGTAACAAGTATAAACTGAGTCTATAAAACAACATCACAACTTTATTCTCAATAGCTAAGTATTGAAATGCAAGCATACATTATAAATAGAAAAACAGCTGGCTTGGAGCACATTGCAAGCCACTAACACAGTTGAGGGATTTGAATGACATCATAACCCGTGAGAGCATGTTGCTGGCCAGCTGGTGTTATTTATAATATACTCATAATTGAGGAAAAATAAAAAGGCAGAAGTTAGGTATTGCAGAACTAATAAAGTTGAATTCTCTCTTTCCCAGTGTCATCTAAATTGTTATCAAGAGAAATTTGAAGATTAGTACTAAAAAGGAGGGAGGGGGGGCTATCACTTTATAATTACAACAACAGATTTAAGATAAATGTCATGGAAGTCCCCCAAACCAGGCTACTTGTGTTACTATAGTCATAGCACTGTAAGTTCTAGGAAATTACATGATTTCTCCTGTGTGATTGCTGAAAGATCACAAAGCTATTTTTCCCTATTTACAAGTAGTTCTCAACAATTCTGTTATGCTTAGAGAATTACAAACTGCTATCTTAGGGTTAATCACAGAAAGAGTTGGAGGTTTTAATTGGTACTCAGCATACAGACGTGCCAAGTTTAATAACGTAAAGACACATTAAGGGAAAAGTAGATAACTGTCTGCATTTCTGTACTATATAAATAAAATACCTATGCTGCTATGCATAAATAAAATGTATATATATATATATATGTATGTATATATATATATATATATATATAAAGGTGTATGCATATATACAAACATTGCCCATATGTATTTAAGTTTTTATATATTTGAAATGCAGACACACACACATAAATACAAATGCACACACAGCCACCTGAAAGTTAACCAGAATACATTTTCTTATTTTTCATGGCAGCACAAGCTCTTTTTGTCTGCTAACCCCTCAGTCACTAATTCACATTCTTTTAAAGGGAAAAAAATATGCTTCTGTGCTCTAGTTTTAAAATGCAAAGGTATGATGTTATTTGTCACCATGCCCAAAAAAGTCCTTACTCGGTAACTTTGCCAGAAGAGGGAGAGAGAGAGAGGCAAATGCTCCCCCAGCTGTTTCCTGTCTACAGTGTCTGTGTAATGTAGATAAATGTGAGGATTTTCTCTAAATCCCTCTTCTGTTTGCTAAATCTCACTGTCACTGCTAAAATCAGAGCAGATAGAGCCTGCGCAATGGAATAAAGTCCTCAATATTGAAATGTGACATTGCTCTCAACATCTCACATCTCTCTGGATTTCTTTTTTCTCATCATTACTGCTAACAAATTCATTTCCAGACTTTGCACTTTCAAGAAGCAATGGAAAAAATCAACAGTCTTTCAACACAATTAGTTAAGTGCTGCTTGTGTGATTTCTTGAAGGTAAATCTTTATTACTATTTCAAATAATTTTTTAGTTTTATTTTGCTGTGTATTGTCTGCTGCTGGCTTGAGGAGTATTGTGCACTTTTCAATAACATTATTTTAGAACTGAGAATTATTTATAAATTGCTGAACATGCAATTTCATGTGATCTGGAAAATGGCTGTATGTAATAGTTGCAATTACATAGATAACTGTAAGGGTAAACTATTGCAAATACATGTCTTAAATTTCACTTCTATTCAGAGAACTTTCTAATATTTCAGTTATGTCATTATTAAAAGGTCCACTTACATCATTGTCTATACTGTTAATGAATGCTTCTGAAAACAAGAACTTTTAGCTATTTTCTGCAGGTGCAGGGTTTTATAGGCAAAAAGGTATTATTCACATGTTAAGTTTCTGCAGTTTTATTATACACAATTATAGAGAAAATGTTCATGCTTTCACAAGGAAACTTTTAAGGGATGTTGTCACTGCAGCAATTTTCTGGCAGCATCGTGGCATTTACTTGGTTTTTGCTTTCATAAATTAAAAGTAAATGAGAAGTTCAGTTTGTTTTCTACATTAGAAACCAGCTGCGACTCTTGCTGACCTTGCATATTTGTACAGCTTAAGCAATTGTACATAAAGAAAATGGAAATTCCCTTACATGTTCATCTCCAAGTTTTCCCTTCTAGGGAGGGCTTTTTCAGGAAAGTTTGCATGTGAAGTTTGATGTTATGACCCTGTAATTTCTGCACAATAATATAAACTGTCTTTAGGTAAATTTGACTTCAGTAGGTGCATTGACCTCTGTTTCTGTCAATTGGCACCCGTCCAGCTTTCCATTATCTGCATATTTATATCCTTCAAGAACTTTTTTTCCCCTTAGTATTTTGCAAGGACATTTATGTAGTTGAAAGAATTATCTTAATTGTTTAGGGCCTAATTATTTTTTTTAGTTAGTCTTACACTTAAAACACACTTATCTCATTCTTTAATGACTTAATTACAGGTCTGTAATTGCAAGGGATGAAATCATTCCCTTAATGTATAAATGGGCAACCTTTCCAATATTCTTGAAAGATGAAGGGGTTTGTTTTGTTTGGTTTTTTTTCCTAAGTATTGAGCAAGACACTAAGAGACATAAAAGTAATGTGCTAGTTCCTCAGCTGTGCATCCTGCCAAGCTTCCTTGGAATCAATGGAACATATTGATTTAGGTTAGCATGTAGCCCAGATTCTTTGCTCAAAGTTAACAGTATTAAAACCTTGATCTGCTCCAGAGTGTATATACTTTATTTATATAACAATTAGTAGTGAATATTGATATTTCATAATAATTGCACATTTCTACTATAGCTTGATAATCAGGCCCAACCCCTCTGGAATAAAATGTAATTTTAAATATAAAACTCCTGATTTCTTGCTGTAGCATATACTCTCCAAAAAAATTGTTACCTCCTTCAAGATACTCCTAATTCTTGCAGATGTTCTTACATGACCAAGCATGTGAAGAATTCTTATGCACAACTTGTGTCAAGTGATAGTTTGTTAAACAAGGGAACTTACATAGAAGAATTAAGAAGTAAATGAGATGTAGAGTGTTCATATATGACATTCCTTTGTGGTGTTACTCTTCTGGACTACTAAAAGAGGAATATAGCAAAAGCTGGCTATTTTACTGAAAAAAGAGGAAATTCCAGCTGTGAAAATATGGTCAGTCATTCTATGAAACTAAAAGAAGTGCTTAACCAGGCTCATCTTGAACCTGTATTCAATTTCCTCATGTAATTAGATGCTTTGATAAACCCCACCCACACACCAATGCGTTTTCTTTTAAGCTCTCAACTTTCTAGTTAAATTGGGGATAATGTAAGTACTCTGCTTGATTGTAGAGAACCTGAAGCAATATTGGATTACAACTTTGTATTTTCTTAAGAATATTCCCCTCAGATATAAAGGCATACTTTGATTTTATCATGAGCGTATTGAATCAATTAATGTTGTGTTTAATTAAAATGATGAAGTAAAGTTAAAGTTTTAAACTATGTTTTGGAATTTGCTTTGATGAAACAGTACTTAATTTATCAAATAATTGATTGAACCCTAGAAACATGTGAGCCTGTTTTCTTTTCTGTAAAGTTTTTACTTGTTTGAAAGTTCTTGACTGTTGTTAAATTTTTGAGATAAAGTTAGAAATTCTCTGTGGTTTATACTGTGCAGCCTTTTTTGGCTTCCACTAAAGGAAAAACAGTAGATAATCTGTTTTGTTGTAGTTCAGTACTGATATTTATCTGAAAATGCAAGCCAGCTGAGAAGTCTTGAAAAATAAAAAATTGTTAAATGTCTAAAATTTATGTTTATTTCTGGACCAAATGTTATACGAGAACAAATTGTTAAATACATAATGTTCTTGTATTTGTAATGTCTTTCAGCTTTCTGAGGCAGTGTGCTAAACAGCTTTCTGCTTTACCTCCTCAGAACTGGGAACCATCTTAAACTGCAGGTGCATCACATTTATCTTATAAATTCAAAATTATGGCAAAGGGAAAAAGAAACTTGTTAAAATATGGAATCATTACAGAAAATAGTGCCTCATGTTATCATCATTCATTTATAATCTGATCTTTTTCCATCTGCCATTGAAGTCATGTCCATGCGTTTGAGCTTGTTGGGGTTTGCGTGGCAAAGTTGGGTAAAGACACTTGTGAATGAGAAAATAATTATTCTTTCTTTTTTTTCTGATATATCATGGGATTTAAAATTTTTCAGTATTTTCACTGTAATACAGAAATAAGGGACTCATCCAGCAAGGCACTAAGGTCTCTTGCCAAGAAAATAAGAATTCTTAAAAATTATTCACTAAAAAATGCTCAATACCCCATTGGATCAGATCCCAATTGATCAGAAAATAGATAACTTCATATTTTTTTCAAAAGTTCAGTGAAGAAATATTAAAGATTAAATGGCCCCTGAAACCCTGAAAGAAACTTTAGGGAAGATTAATCATTTTACTTCAACTACTTTACACTAGACTGCTAACACAAAGCAGTTCTAAACCAAGTTTAACTGTATGTGGAAGACAGATTTGTGGCTTCTTACCTGACTACAATGCTAATGTTAACCTTGAAAGAGAATGAAATTAAATGCAGATTTACACCTTTAAAAACTATCATTTTTGGCAAGTGATCTAAATAAGTTCAGAATATGCATTAAGCACGTTACTCAGTGTCCTGCTACTACACATAAATAGCTTTTCCTAGTATCAAAAGAAAAAACTGTCCTCTTTGCATGTTGGGTAAGAAATTAGGTGAACATAAAGGGATACAAAAAGAAGTGGATAAACAGATTGGTGCAATTTTACACCCATTGCAGACTGGCCTCTCTTCAGTGAAAAGTACAGGAAAAAGATAGCGTGTAACCAAATGTAAATGAGAATTTTGTCACCTCCGTGTAAACCTCATGGCCGCAGCTGCCAAAGAGGGTACAATGAAGGTCAATGACGTATAGCTGCTTGCAACAAGCAAAAATACAAATCTTTAAAGGATTAAAACTCACACTCCTGTTAATTTCTCAAATGTTTCCAAACATTGGCCTGCTAGTACCAGGGGACTGTAAGAGTCACTGAATGCGGTCTTCTGCTACAGAAGATCCCACATCATTTCCTGTAACTTTGGCAAGGTGAACCTTGCAACATTTTTGGTTTGTCCTGGTATTTTCCTTTCTAAGGCGGCTGGAGAACTGTGGAGCACTAATAATGAGCTCTTTTTCTATTGGGCCAAATTTTCTTACAGCAAGTTTAGAGCCATTTATTCTTGTGACAATGTTGGTTTTAGTTTAAATAGCTCTTCTCCATCATATGCCACCCCTGTTTCCCACAGTTCATTGGCAGGCACCTGTCATACTTCCTCTTAGTTTATCTGGTCTGACACAAACAAATTCAAGGTTGTTTTCCTTGTTCCTATTATTCCAGGCTTCCCTTTGTCTATTCCGCCCTTCCATATTTTGCTTTCCAAAAGTAAATATAAGTCATAGTTACTACAGGGCTCCATAACTAGATGTGATTGTGAGTATTCACCAGAATAATCTGTTTCCAAAATACATGGACTAGAACAAGTAGGTTCTACAAGTAGTTCAACAAGTAGTTGCAAAATCATGGTGAGACATTTCCTGATTCCATGTTTATTGTCCAAGAAATCACAATACATATTCATTCTCATTGACAAGGGTGGAGTAATTTTTTTGTAAGACTCTTTGGGGAAATTCTGACACTGCTTCTGCTTTCTTGGCAGGTGAAGATGCACACTGTGTCCTACATCCATTTCTTCTACCTTGGCCTGTGTTTGCTTACCTTAACCAGTTCTGTTGCTGCTGGCCCAGAAACACTCTGTGGTGCTGAGCTGGTTGATGCTCTTCAGTTCGTGTGTGGAGACAGAGGCTTTTACTTCAGTAAGTCCACCCTTTCTCTCATTTAACTGCTAAACACCTTCATGCAATCCATTGGAGTATGCAGTTGCTCTAAATGAGCTTAGTTATGATCATCCAGGCTGCCAGCTAGGATTGGTATCCTGTATCTGGAAGATGCTCAAGCCTTCAGTTACCATGAAGCCTCAGTAAAGAATAAAGTTGTGCCTGTGTTCAACTTCTCTGAGTTTTTGACAAATTTTCATTTTAAGACTTGTTATTGTTTTTCACCAGTTTCCAGCTGTTGCTATTCCACCTGCTGTGTTCCTGCTTTCCACTGACCTGTCACTGAAATTAAGTGAATGAGACCACATACTAAACCCGAGACACTCATGAGGCAGAACTACATGTACCTGCTATGTCAGACTAACAGTAAACATTTTAAGTACACACTGTATCATATTAAAAACACACTAAGCTTCAACATCTGGTTTGGAAAAAATAAGAGCTGGAAGGCAGCAACCAGAAAGTTACCACATCCAAGTATCCACATGCTTCATCATTTAAATACAGGTGGAGGAAAATTCATGCATGGTGAAATAATGAAGACTGACACCAGTACAGGCAACAGATAAAATTAACTCTGCAATAGTGAGGGCCAAGAAATACTCAACTTTTAAGTAATATAAATCTATTTCTGATGTTCATCTATTTGCCACTTAAATAACAAAGAAGCTTTTAGCTAGAAATATATTAATTCTGAATACATTCATTAATATATTTTTTCAAAACATAATAGAATTTGTGCTTCTATAGCCTCTGAAGATAGCATTTACTTTTAATAACAATAGGTGCTTCTCTGATATTCTTGATAGTCCCTCCTGGCTGAAGCTTCTTCTCATCTAAGCTACCATTTTTAGTTTTCTGATCATACCCACCCTATTCCCATTTATTTCTATTCATTGCTTTCAATGTTTTCTCCTTGCTTGCAATAAAAACAAAAATTTAGACTCTTGCACTTCTTAATTACAGAAAATCTCAATTTCCTCAGCATATAAATTGTAGAGATTTTCACTATCTTCTTGACACATTTTATTCAATTTCACTTTTGAAACCTTGGTTTTACACATGCAAAGTAATCCACTATTCACAAAAGAACCCTTCTTTTCTGTATTTAACACCTCAACTCTTGTTCATAAGCACCTGCTCCAGGGTGCTGTTTAGCTTAGCATTCTGGTGTTAGTGTTAAAAGTACGGTCGTCTCTCATACAGGAATTTACATTTTCCTACAAACTCCTCAGGTGTTCATTTATAAACCAAAGTCTGTTGCATTTATTAGCAGCAGAGTTAGGGATTATATGAGTGTCCTACAAATGTTTTATTGCTGGAGTGCATGTAAAGACTGTCACCTCCCCCTCCTGTTTCTGCACCAGAAAACAATGAGACAATACATCCTTAGAACAGCAGAGCAATTGTTCTTTTACTGTGTATGTATCTCAGGTGCTTCTCTGCCAGCAAAATGTTTGCTGCCGGTTCAGAGACCTCTCATGCTTGCTTTCCACAAGAGTAGCTGTTACTGCCCAGCAATCAGACCTACTGTTAGGTGTACTTTGTGATCCTCAAGGTAAGAGGTCATGTGAAATGCTAATCATTAGCAATAACTCTCTTTGCTTTCAATCTCAGTTATTCTAAAGTTTCACAATGTTTCAAATCTCTACCCTAGGCTAGGTCACCCTTAATTTAAAATGCCAGGATGGGCTTCCAATGTTTCAAAGGAGATCATTACCTTTGCAATCTTGACATTTATCTGCTGCCAGTTTAGACTTTCTCTCTAGTCTTTGCTGTTTTCTGACAATCTGAGTTTTCAATTAAAATAATATAATGGCACCATAAACGCTAACCTTCTTTTTGTATGGAAAAATATGGAAGGTTTTGCTTATGAATGACCACCCTGTTTTAGGAAAGTCTTGCACAGTTGTAATCAATAGACTGCAGTTGTATCACTCAACAGGAGCATTATGAAGCTGACATGCATGTGGCCCCTTGGATGCCAAGAAATGTGTGTGCTCTACCTGGCTACTTCTTATTTGTAAGGAAGAAATTTCATGTTTTAACCTTCTCCCTCTTGTTTGTTAGAGTTCAATCTAAAACACAAAATTAGAGAAAAGTAAGCCCAGTAACACCGGTAAAACAAATTGAGATCTTCATATCAAATGTACTACAGAATGTAGCATACTATTAGAAAGTAAAAATGTTGCTTGATTTCTTGGGACTTTTTAAGAATACCACATTATTTGTAGAGGTAAAAACCCAATGAAATTTTTGTTTTGTTGTAAAAAGTATGCCAATGAAAGAAGTATTTTAAGCCTATTCTCATACTCTGGGTTCCTTTAAATAAAGTATAATCAATGGTAGTGTTTGCCTTTAACTTGCACAGGAAATAGCTGTGAGGAAAATTTTTTTCTTCCATCACTCTGTATTTCACTAGAGATTCCAAGTATAAAGAATACCTTTTGGCTGGAGGTGGAATTCCTGGTTCAGAGTCAAGGTCAAACTTTGGACTGTTCCTTGGGAGATGTGGGTGGAAGTGAAGATAGAAATAATTGTATTACTTTCTGTCAAAACGCTGTACTTCCCAACCACAAGGCTATATCTATGGCTAGAACTGGAAGACAAAAATTTCCTTTATATAGTCTACTCTGCCTAACTTTCTAGCTATAAAAGGAAATTCTTTACAGCTTCTGAGGAGATGCCTCAGTTGCTTACCACACACAAAGAGAAGTACTGACTTCAAGAGAAAGTCAAATGTGGTATCCACCACTCCCTTTTGTCTTGAGATAGACTGACAAGGAGTATTTTTCAAAGATTTTTAAGGAAAAACACAACATTCCCCAAACTGAGCATCTGCTTTTTTTCCAAGGTCACATTTAACTCCAACCAGCACTGGCTGCTCCTCAGACAGCTTTTTGTCTCCTGTGATTTACCAGAGAAAAGTGGATTGTCCACTTTCTATCTAGGGACATCTCTCTAGGAGAACTGCCCCTCATGTTCCTGCGTGCTAGGTTTTGTTAGGAGAAAGTGACAGAGAACCTGGCCGCAGCTGCAAAAGTGGCTACACTTTAACACAGCTTTTCTCAATGTTTCTCCCATGTTAAAACCTCTGGATACAACAGTCATGAAACCAAGTGGGATAGCTTCATTGTTCATGTGAATTTTAATGTCCAGAAAGGTCTACCACAGCATGCTTATCGCAAAACAACACTGAGAGCAGAGAATGTTGGAAAAACTTAAAGCAGAAATTACATGAAACTTATAAAAGTGAAAGCCTAATAGAGGGAAAGTTTTCCTTGGAATAGTCTAATCTTATCACAGGAATTTACTTTGTAAATTAGTAAAAAAAAAAAATAAATAATTTCTTCATAAATGGTGAATTTGCTGAACAATCATTCATTCTTGCTCATGATGTTTTCCAAGGGCTATTACTGCTGTGAGATCCAGTAGCTTGTTCTAAGGAGAAAATGCTATATTTTTTTCTAACTTGTTTCTTGTCCTTTGAAAATATACCTTTTCCTTTACAGCAAATACATAGCAGTCCTGCTAACCATACAAAAGTGCCAATAAAGAAACAGATTTCTTAATTCCTTAGACATTTTCAGTCTTCTAATATCTATAGCCCAAGTTAGATGGCAATACATATTTGAAACCATGACAATCAGCTTCATGAATTAAAACTCCACCTTTTTTTCTGCTAAAAACATTGCTTTAGTCTTGTGGTGAATCTTCTGAACTATCACTTGCTTAAAAAAGAAAAGAGCTCAGTTTAGATACCTGAGACACTAGAGTTCCTCTGATATTCTCCAGAGAATGGAGAATGATCTAGCACATGCTTCCATGTCTAAAGCAATGAATCCCATAAAAGATGGGTTTTTTCTGGCATCTAGCTTAATGTTCCCTGTGTTAACTGCTTTGTGGAGAATTACTGCAAATTTTTTCTGCATTTTTTTTTTGTCCACTAAGACAATCAAAATTATGTCTTGTCCTTGGGAAAATCCCCAGCTGTGCACAATGTAAAACTATTTATTTATAATCGTCAGAAAATCAGGATAAGCCCCTGAACATAATTTTGGGTGCTGAGAGCTGTCATGAGATCTCATTGCTTTGTAGAGCTAAGGTATATCTGGAGGAATTGCTGCCTTAGAAAAGAGGAAACAAGCAGCAGAGCAATAGGCAATTACTTTTTGCTTCTCTCATTTCCCTCTAGTTAAGAGCTTCTTGTTTACTTCAGGAAGTCTGCTTTTAAGATGTTATTAAAGTTTCTAGGCCTGTCAAACCTATCAGCGTAATTACAAGAGATGGCATGGCACTCAGTTCTTTAAGTACTCCATACCTGTAGGAGCTATGAGTCATTAGCTCTTCTCTGCATCCCTGATTGAAAGGAATGTTAATGTTAGAAGCCCAGCAGAGGCAAGCTGAAAAGCTGCCACAGACACACACAGACTCTGGTGTCACTGACAGTCTTACAAATCTTTGCAAACAAACACTGGTCATCTTGGCTGTGTTCACACGGCAAGATCTGAGAGTGTTTGTAAGTTCCTTGGTCTGGCTTCATGCCCCATTCATGTCCAAATACTGTATCTATGGAAGATTTGAGTTCATTCCTCTATCTATCCCTAGATTCCCTGCTTCTTACAAGGAAGCTAACCTGGAAAGGAGCTCAGATGTGCTTTAGCCAGCTCTGCAAGGTCAGTGCTTAGGGAGCCAGAACTATAGGTACAGCCACTGATGTAGCTGCATAAGAAAGAAAACAGCTCTGACTTCTGGAATGATATCACTGTAGAGTCAAACAGCTGACACAAGTTTGATGTGTGCTTTGTCGCCCCTGGTAGTAAACATTGAGAAAGTTCTCTGAAAATAAGCCAGTCTTTGAAAGAATTTTCTCATTTTTTACCACATTAAGAAAGGGTAAGGAGTTGTTCATAAAGGCTAACCTTAGTTTAGTGACGTTAATCTTCTTAAGTTACATCTTTAAAAACAGATAGAGAGGT